TTTTTTTTATAATGTCAAGAAAGCCAGCATTGAAAGAGATCCCATCCCCAAGAACACTTTCTTTAAACCGTTTGTTAAACATTAAAGATAAAAACCTGAGTATTAATCCACATTAGTATAAATAGCTCTAACAGGTTAGACCACCATTTTTATAGTAACAGATCCCTAGGGCTTAATGTCTAGGCTACAAAACCAAACCCAGTCATAGTCCAAGAGCAGTGATCTAGAAGGGAGCTGCCAGAACAGGAGTGGCTGGTAGAAGAGCTTCCAGAAAGTGGCATTCAAAACTGGGCAAGCCTTCTTGGATTGAGGTTCTGGTTCTACAAATTGACAACGCCTAAGCTTTTTGTCTAAAATTTGTGCACACAATCAAATTCCAATAGTTGTACATGGATAATTTGACATGCAGACTGAAGTAGCTGGTGAATCCATACTTTGGCATGGGTTTCATAGATTGTTGCTTCCCTGCACTTCTGGGCCAGAAAACAGACTGTTGTCTGTCCTTATGTGCCAAAAGACAGTTCAGAGTAGCCAGCATTGTCGAAGTTGTTAGGTGGGGTGCTAGAGAGTACACCACCAAGCAACTTTGTCCTATGGGGAGACTTCAATAATAATGTGGGCAATGACAGCAAGACCTGGAGGGGTGTGATTAGAGGAATGGCCTGCCTGATCTGAATCTGACCACACTCAGATAAAGATCAGTCTGTCCATAACATGTTCAAACATAAGGGTCTTCATGAGAAAATGTGGCACCAAGACATCGCAGGGTGATGAAAGGTGGCGGATTGGACAGATGCTGGCAGACGTGTAAAAATAACGCAATTGTTTGGTAGTGGCTATGGTGGAGCTTTCACAGATTCAGTAAAATTAGCAAGTGATGGAGGCCAGCAGGTGGATGGGGGAAAGGGGAGGCGGACGTGGCGAGACCCAAAGCAGCCGCCAATCAGACTGTCTGGTGAAATGAGCTTCAGGTAAGAAGTTATGACCTGCAGTCTATCTGGGTCAGATATAAACCAAGTTTAGGTGGAGTTTATTTTCGTTCTGCT